TGTAATAATGCTTTCTGGTAACAGATGGGGACTATACTTATCCTGGTGAGCATTCCTGAGTAGTGTACAGAATTGTTGGATCATTATCTTATACACCTGAAACTTATATAACACTGTATATTAATTATACTTCAATATAAAATAAATTTACAAAAACAAAAGCTCTGAAGGGAAATAAAAATACTATAAACTACATAAAACTTCTATAAAAACAACAAAACAAAAACCTATAAAGAAATCTGAAAGACAATTCATAGCCTAGAAGATGATATTTGCAACATAAGCAACAGAAAAGGATTAGTAACTGTGAAAATTAGTAATGGGGACCTTCACTAAAATGAAGTCTGAAGGTTTCCTCAGGGGAGCTCTTGCCCTACCATTCTAGTCAATTGCAGATGCAACACGAAGAGACCTTGACCTTGCATATGCATACTACACATACATTTTGGTGAAGGAAGAGACACTTTCTTGATTCTCTTCCCCTCCCAACAACAGCTCAGTCAATGAGAAGCCACCATACTTGGAACTTTCAAATGATTCCAGTGGACTTTTAGCCTATAACGGCCTTCCCAACTATCCCTTTTCTCCTTAAAAAAGTGTACCTTTCCTTTGTTCCTCGAACTCACCTAGGTTTTGCCACCACTTGTTTGTCCTGGATTGAAATTCTTTTATTCCCAAATAGCCCCATTTTTGCTGGTGAAATAACAGGCAGTTTTTATTCTTAAGGTTAACAAAATATATAAAAATGTTACAAAATCATTTAATTTAAATAAACACAACACACAATCCAAAAGAAAAACAGACTAAGGATATAAGCAGGCAATGCACAGAAGAAGAAATAAAAATACCCAGTTAATACATGGAAATATGCAAATTATACCTACCATGCAATGCAACCTTTTCCAAAGTGATAAAAATGTAAGACTTGAAAAATATCAAGTGCCAGTGAGGGTATGAGTGAATAAGTACTCATAAACTGCAAGACGATGTAAATTGGTATTGATATTTTGAAGGGCTATTTGGCAAAATGAAAATGGGCATATGTTATGACCCAGGGATTCTATTTCTAGGAATCCACCCTAAAGAAACACTCACATATATGCACAGAGCTATTCACTGAGCACCATTTGTAATAGTGAAAAATATAAAAACACTGTCTATTAGCAGGGAAATAAACTATAATATCCAGGCAATGTAGGAGTTAAAAAAATATATGGTAAATCTCTAAATACTGACTGAATACACTGAAGGCTCACCAAGTGATACTGCTTTAAAAAGTTTCAGAAAAAGAGGGATCCCTGGGTGGCGCAGCGGTTTGGCGCCTGCCTTTGGCCCAGGGCACGATCCTGGGGACCCGGGATCGAGTCCCACGTCGGGCTCCTGGTGCGTGGAGCCTGCTTCTCCCTCTGCCTGTGTCTCTGCCTCTTTCTCTCTCTGTGTGTGACTATCATAAATAAATAAAAAAAAAAAAATTAAAAAAAAAAAAAGTTTCAGAAAAAGAAAAAAAGAAAAAGTTTCAGAAAAATACAGAACAACATTCTAAAGCAAAATTAAGTCAGTTCTACAAACTTTTAAGGATACACGTACAGATGTATATGCACAGAGAAAGACCTGGAGAGTAATTAACAAATTGATAATAACAGTTAACTCTGGTGAGGGAACTGTGTTGGAGTAAGGGACAGTCAAGGAGGATTTTGACTCTATATTGCTTGAATTTTAAAAATAAGAGTATATTGGGATCCCTGGGTGGCGCAGCGGTTTAGCGCCTGCCTCTGGCCCAGGGCGCGATCCTGGAGACCCGGGATCGAATCCTACGTTGGGCTCCCGGTTCATGGAGCCTGCTTCTCCCTCTGCCTATGTCTCTGCCTGCCTGTCTCTCTCTCTCTCTCTCTCTCTCTCTGACTATCATAAATAAATAAAAATTTTAAAAAAAACTTAAAAAAATAAGAGTATATTCACTTATTACTTATATAATTACAAATAAATCAAACTTATAAAATGGTACACAACTATAAATTTGAATCTAAGGTTTTAGGCAAAGTCCGATGGGAACATAGTGAAAGGAAAAACTGGTATGTAGAAAAGATTTTATAGCAGTTGTGACATTTGAGCCAGGCCTCCCTGTTTGAATAGGATTTTGTCAAGCATCCATAATTTGATGGAGGACTGTGGCAGATTGTGTTTTCCAAAGATGCCTGTACTAACACACACACCATCCCTTATGCTTTTCTTTCAATATGACATTGACACTTGTCCATAGATGGGTGGGGGTCTACATTCCCTCCCCTCGAACTTGGGCAAGATTTTGTGATTGCTTTGATGAACTGAATGGGAAGGAAGTATCACAGCATGATTTTTGAGATCATTCAGCTTCTGCTTGGTCCTTTCTTTTACAGGATGCTCATCCTTGGAATCCAGCCACCATGCGGTGAGAAAGCCCAAACTAGCCCATGTGGAGAGACCACACTAAGAGGCTCATGTGGAGAGAAACTGAGGCCCCCAGCTGATAGTGGGCACCAACTACCAGACATATAAGTGAACGAACCTTCAGATGATTCCCGAGCCTTCAGATGATTCCCGTTCCCAGCCTTTGTGTCCTCGGGCTGAGGCCCAAACATACGTCATGGGGCAGAGATAAGTCATCCCCACTGTGCCCTGTCCTAATTCCTGACCCAGAGAATCCATGAACAGAATAAATGGTTATTTTATGCCACAAAGTTTTAGAGCAATGTGTTACACAGCCAAAGTAACTGGAACAAAGACTTTCTAAGGAGAAGAAATTATACAGGTAATAGAATGTTGTAGAGCATTGTGAACACTGGCAGTATTGGGTGACGAGGTCACAAAGGTTGGCTGGGATCAGGCCATGAAAAGTCTCATATGACAGTATAAAAAAATTAGACATACCATTGGCAGTGGAAAACTGTGGAAAATTTTTAAGCTGGGAAGTGAAATGCTTAGGGCTGCACTTTAGCAAGATATCTTTGAGATTGGTGTGAAGGAAAGATGGGGCAGGGGGCGGGAGGAAGACTCAAAAATAGGAAAAACTCCTTCAATTAAGATGAGTTCCAACCAAGTAACATGTTTTGTGACTTTTTTCCTCATAAGGCCTGCCTCTTAGGCTCATTTATATTCCATTTCACTTGTATTATAAAGTTGGCAGGGGAAACTTATTTCCACACAAAAACACACACATGGATGTTTGCAGCAACTTTATTTATAATTGCCAAAACTTAGACACAACCAAGATGTTCTTCAGCAGGTGAATGGATAAATACCCTAGTAGATCCTAGCAGATTCAGCACTACAAAGAGATGGACTATCAAACCATGAAAAGACACAGAGGAGCTTTAAATGCATGTTACTGAATAAAAGAAGTCAGTCAGAAAAGGCTACCTCCTGTATGATTCCAACAATATGACTTTCTGGAAAAGGCAAAACTATGGAGACAGTTAAAATATCAGTGGTTGCCAGGGGTTAGGAGGAAGGGAGGGATGGCAGGCAGAGTACAGAAGTTTTGTAGGCAGTGAAATACTCTGTATGATACTATAGTGGTAGATACATGTCTTTATGACACTTGTCAAAACCCACAGAACATACAACATCAAGAGTGAACGCTAATGTAAACTATGGTCTTTGGGTGATAATAAAGCGTTAATGTAGGTTTGCGAATGGCAACAAATATGAGATGTTGGTAGGGGGGGAGGTTCTGCTTGTTTGGGGGCAGGGGCATACAGGGAAATCTCTGTACCTTCCACTCAATTTTACTCTGAACCTAAAACTGCTTTAAAAAGATGAAGTCTATTTTAAAAATGTTGGAGGGGGTATATGAGGGGATATTAGATCACAAAAAACGTTTTCCTTACCATTCTTCTTTCAAGCTTCTGGATCTGGATCAGTTTACATAAAGTGTATTCTAAGAATACAGAGCAAGCTGTCTTAAAAATGGTAACCACTTATAACTAATTATCCATGTGAGTAATACCATCCTTGTACTCCAAATATCACCATAACCCACAACTTCGTGTTCCGTGTTTATTGAAATATCCTCCTCATAATTCTCATGACTAGCTTTATAAGAAAATTATATAAACGTGAACCTGTAAAATAAATCTATTCTAATCAACTACAGTTTTTATATTTTGGATATTGGGGATCTATATATGGAGAAAATCACAGCGCGTGGCCCAAAGATGAGGGAGAAGATGAAACTCAGAACATAAGGAGCCACCTCTGCAGTGAGGGAAAGGATGCTTGGATGAATATAAAAGCAAAGATAAATGAGGGGATGAACGATACTAATGAGAATGTTTCATTCTCATCTTGGCAGAGGGTCTTGAGTCCTATTTTTTGAGAAAAGCAAGAGGAAGAATGTATTAAAAATTGAGAGTTCCTGAAGAATAGAGACAGTATGAAGTGGCTCCACCGTGAATCAATCAGAAACTGAGTAGCAGCAGAGCCCAGTTTGAATTTGATAATGTAATTCACTGGAGGCCAGTTTGTATCATTTTATACTGTACCTTCTCTAACACTAATTATTCAAGAGGTGATTAGCCAATTTGTGGGATGCTATGCATCTTGTTTTTCACATTTTCATCTAATGCTTGCTTATGAAAAATGTCATAATTTAAACTTTATCAAAGAGAAGTTAATAGAAATGAAAAAAATGAACCCTAATTTTTCTGCATTTTAAACCATTCACAAGAGATTTGAGGTTTGCAGTTAATAATTTTCGAAACAATGAAAAAAAAAGCAAAATAAAGGGGAAAAAAACATTGAAACAAATGGTAAAATAAGATTACAGGATCATGTGTGGGTTGAATTCATCCATGTTGGTCCCATCCCTAATTATCAAAGTTAAATTAAAACCACTGCTGCCATATTTCACAAAATAAAATCTGATGAAAAGCAATTCCTGCCCAATGTTTCTTATTCATGTTTCTGAGTAACCTTCACAACTCCTAAATGTCATCAATGAAATTCTAAAGAATTGAATTTACCTGCATCCCAGAGGTTACAAACGTCTGCTGGCCCTTCTGATGATATAGTTGATGAGATAATGGAAGGAGGGACTGTCGGCAAAAGTGGCTTTGGGTCATCCTCATAAAATAACATCAGGTCCTTAAAGAAAACAGGAGAGCACACGAAGTTTGAAAAAAAAATTAATCCTACTGCTTCAATTTGTTAAAGTAGATGGACAATTTATTGAGACACAATGTGTCTATATATGCTAACATAAACACATTTTAACTGAAAGAACTCAAATGTAAGTTAGCTATACACTAGTACATGATGGTTTTCTACCCTTCCTCACTCCCTGATGAAGACAGCTGGTGCAGGTAAGCAATGATTCTGTTTGAGGCATTAACTGTCTCTATCACCCTTTGAGCATCCTTAGAGCATACAATCTCAGAAGCCAATTTTTCTGTTTTACTGGTTATAATAAAGCTACCTGTGTATATCTTTTATTCATATTTTAAAACTTTAACTTTTTATCATGGAGTAAAAAAAAATAGATGATAATCCAATCATGTAGGTTAAACAACAAATCAATGCATGGCCAGTCTTGTTTCATTTATATCCTATTACTCTTCATCTGTTTTACTGTGAAGTAAATCCTAGCTATATCACTTATTTTGGTGTATCTCTCTACATGACAAAAATTCTTTAATATAATAATTATTATTTTACGCCTAGAAACTTTACAACTCCTTAATGTCATTACAAATCTATCTTTCCAATTTCTCCTAAGTGCCATAAATAGGTTTTTCTGTAGCTTACAAGAGGATTCAAATAAAGTCTCCACAGTGGGATGGGTTGACATGTCTTATATCCCCCATGAAGAGAGATTTGTTCTGCAGTATTTATTTAAGGTGTAATTAACATAGAGTACATTAACCTCAAGTGCAGAGCTCAATAAGTTTTAACATGATGTGTATACCTATGTAGCCACTTTTCTGTCACTCCAGAAAGTTCCCTCAAGCTCTTTTCCAGTTGATACCATTCCTTCACCACCAGTACACAGTATTCTTCCTTCCACCATAAATCAATAAGATTGCCTGTTCTTGAGCTTCCTATGAATGTAAACATATACTACGTAGGCTTTTTTTTTTATTTTTAATTTATTTATTTATTTATGATAGTCAGAGAGAGAGAGAGAGAGAGAGAGAGAGAGAGAGGCAGAGACACAGGCAGAGGGAGAAGCAGGCTTCACGCACCGGGAGCCTGATGTGGGATTCGATCCCGGGTCTCCAGGATCGCGCCCTGGGCCAAAGGCAGGCGCCAAACCGCTGCGCCACCCAGGGATCCCACTACGTAGGCTTTTGTATCTGATTCCCATTGTTTAACATGTTTGTGAGATTCATCCATATTTTGAGTGTAATCAGATACTTTTTTTTTATAAGAAGTATTCCAGGGATCCCTGGGTGGCGCAGCGGTTTGGCGCCTGCCTTTGGCCAAAGGCGCGATCCTGGGGACCCAGGATCGAGTCCCACATCGGGCTCCCGGTGCATGGAGCCTGCTTCTCCCTCTGCCTATGTCTCTGCGTCTCTCTCTCTCTCTCTCTCTCTGTGACTATCATAAATAAATAAAAAAAATTAAAAAAAAAGAAGTATTCCATTGTATGAACATGCCACAATTTGTTTATCCATTCTCCTCCAATATGGACATTTGGATTGTTTCCAAATTTCAGTTACTATGATATGAATAAGGTTACTATGAACATTCTTATAGAAATCTTTTCATTTGTCCATATTTGTTCATTACTCCTGGATATTTATACAGAAGTAGATCGGCTAGGTCGTAGCATAGGTTAACTTTTTTTTTAATTTTTTTTAATTTTTATTTATTTATGATAGTCACACACACAGAGAGAGAGAGAGAGGCAGAGACACAGGCAGAGAGAGAGGCAGGCTCCATGCACCGGGAGCCTGACGTGGGACTCGATCCCGGGCCTCCAGGATCGCGCCCTGGGCCAAAGGCAGGCGCCAAACCGCTGCGCCACCCAGGGATCCCGCATAGGTTAACTTTTAACTTTATTGAAATTGCCAAACCATTTCCAAGCAATTTTCCACTTTTCATAATTCAACTTTTATTTTGAAACCATTGTAGATTCACAATCAGTTGTAAGAAATAATACAGAGTGATCCTGTATATCCTTTACCTAGTTTTTCCTAAAGGTAACATCTTAAAAATTGTAGTACAATATTATCCAGGATATTGACATTGATAATGTCAAAATAGAGAACATTTCCATCATAATAAAGATCCTTTCTGATACTTTATTGCCATAGCCTGCCCCCCACAACTACTAATCTGTTCTCCATTTCTATAATTCTGACATTTGAAGAATGTTACATAAATGGAATCATACAGGATGTAACCTTTTGGAATTGGCTTTTTTCCCCTGGCATAATTCCCAGGGATTCATCCAAGTTATTTCATGTATTAATAATGGTTCCTTTTTATTGCTGATTGCTGCGTAGTATCCATGGTATAAACGTATCACATTTTGTTTAATGTGTCAAAGGAAATCGGGATGGTTTCCAGATTTTGGTTATTATAAATAAAGCTGCTGTGAACACTGTGAATAAAAAACCTCACAGGAAAAAAATAAAAAAAATAAAAAAATAAAAAACCTTACAGGTTTTTGTATGAAAATAAATTTTCATATCACTGGGATAGATGCCTAAGAATTCAATTTCTGGGTTGTATGGTAGTTGCATGTTTAGTTTTATAAAAGACACTGCCAAACTATTTTCCAGAGTAGCCCTACACTTTTACATTTCCACTAATAATATTTGAGTGATCCAATTTCTCCACACATTTGCCAGCATTTGGTGTTGTCATTATTTTTTATTTTAGCCATTTTGATATTTCATTACTTGTTTAAATTACATATTCATAATAGGTAACGATGTTGAACATCTTTTCATGTGCTTATTTGCCTTCTCCATTTGCTGAAGAGATTGTTCTTGTCATCTGTCCATTTTCTAATTGGGTGGCTTGGTTTTTAACTGTTAGGTTTTGAGATTTTTTTTTTTTTTAATTTTTAAAAGGAGGTTCCACACCCAATGTGGGGCTTAAACTCATGAATTTGAGATGAAGACTCACCTGTTCTACCAACTGAACCAGTTAGGAACACTGAGAATTCTTTAGTTTTTTATTTTTTATGCTCTAGGTATTAGTCCTTCGCTGGATATGTGGGTTACAAATATTTTCTCCTAGGCTGTAACTTGTTTTTATACCCTTGTGTGAGGATGTCTAACTTTTATTTTTCTTTTAGGGATCATGTTTTTGGGCAGCCTTAGATTATGAAGATTTTTATCCAGTATTTTTAAAAAGTTTTATAGTTTTACATTTAAGTCCATGATCCACTTGAATTCCTACATGAGATTTAAAGTTCATGGTTTTGCCTGTGAATGTCCAATTGCTTTAATATCATTTGTTGAAAAGATTATCCTTCCTCCATTGAATTCCTTTTGTTCCTCTGTTAAAAGCCAATTTGCCATATATGTGTGGGTCTATTTCTTGGTTCTCTATCCTGTTCTACTGACCTAAATATCTATCTCTCCACCAGTATCACACTCTCTTGAGTAAGTAGCTATGCAGTAGGCTTAATATCAAGCAGAGTTATCAGTTCCACTTTATTCTTTTTCAAGATGGTCTTAGCTATTTTAGGACCTGTGCCTTTCCATATAAACTTTATAAGCTTATTATCTCTGTATCAAAAAGAAAACTGCTAGAATTTTGATAGGAATTGCATTCAACATATAAGTAATTGGGAGCATCTTTACTATGATAAGTCTTTCAATCCATGAACATGGTATGTTTGGGTGGTCTTTAAGTTCTTTCATCAGTATTTTATCATTAATTTTATGTATTTTATAATTTTCAGCACACTGATTCTATACATATTTTGTTGCCTAAAGATTTCATTCTGGAGCAGTAACTGCAAATTGCATGTGTCTTAATTTCAGTTTCCACATGTTTACTACTAGTATATAAAAATGCAACTCATTTATGAATGTTGATCTTAATATCCTACAACTCTGCTGAATTCGCTTGCTGGTTCTATGAGGTTTGTTTTTTCCTAAGATTTATTTATTTATTTTAGAGAGATAGAGCACACACATGCAGGGGAAGGAGTGGAGGGAGAGGGAGAGAGAATCTGAGGCAGACTGTGTGCTGAGTGCAGAGCTCTACATGGGGCTCAATCCCATGACCACAAGATCATGACCTGAGCCAAAACCAAGAGTCAGACACTCAACTGACTCAGCCACACAGCTACTTGAGGTTGGTTTGTTTTTGTCATCTCTTTGAGATTTTCTATGCAAACAATTTGTTAATAAGGACAATTTTATTTTCTTCTCTACATTTTACATACCTTTTCTTATTGCAGTGGCTAGAACTTCCAGTGCTATTCTGAATAAGTCCTGGCCTTGTTCCTGAACTTGAAAGTATTCACTGTGAAAAATGATGCTATTATCGTTTTGTGTAGATAAAATCTTTATCAGTTTAAGGAAATTCCATATGTCTAGTTGTTGAGTTTTAAACAGAAATAGGTTTGAATTTTGTTAATAAATGCTTTTCTGCATCAATTGACAAAATCCTATGATTTCTCTTCTTTAATTTATTGATATGATGAATTGCACTGATTGGCCCTCAAATGTTGAATTACACTTAGATTAAATTTTACTTGGACCTGGTATGTAACTTTTTAAATACATTGCTGGATTCAACTGGATAATTTTTTGAGGATTTTTTCATCTAATTTCATGAGAGCTAATGGTCTGTGGTTTTTATTTTGTACTGTCTTTTTTTTTTTTTTTTTGAGGTTGGTAGCAAATAATACTTGCTTCGTAAGATGAACTGGGAACTATTCCCTCCCATTTTTTGAAAGACATTTGTGTGAAAATAGTGTCAATTCTTATTTAAACATTTGATAGAATTCTTCAGTAAAACCATCTGGGCCTAGAGATTTATTTTTCAGGGATTTATATTACAAATTCCTTTTAAAAAATGGTTATAGAACTATTCAGGTTCTTTTTCATCTTCTTTGAATTTTGGTAGTTTGCACTGAGAATTTGTTCTATTTCTTCTAAATTGTCAAATTATGAGCA